TTCAAGGCAGGGATCCAGATCAAAGCACATCTGACAAAGGGTTGTCCACTTTTCTCTTGAACGCCTCCAGCACGGGAGCGCTATCCACCTACCAAGGTCAGTTGTCCACTTTTCTCTTGAATGTCTCCAGCACGGGAGCGCTATCCACCGACCAAGGTTATGTGTTCCATTGTCGTACTGCTCTAACAGTTAGGACGTTTTTCCTGATATTCAGCCTGTATCTGGCTTTCTGTAACATAAACCCTAGCTTCCATGTCATGCACTCCAGAATGACTGAGAACAGATCCTGCCCCTCCTCTTTAGGACAGCCTTTCAAGTCTTTGAAAAGTGCTATCCTATCTCTTCTCCGTCCTCTTTTCTCAAGGCTAAACATGTCCAGTTCTTTCAGTCTTTCCTCGTAGGGCTTGGTTTTCAGTCCCCTGATCATCCTTGTTGCCCTCCTTGGAACTTGCTCCAGTTTGTCCGCATCCTTCTTAGTATTGGCACGAAACTGCAACTCCATCTGGGATCTGTTACAAACAGCGCCAGCTACTCCTGAGAAATATCCCACGAATAGAGCTGGTGCAAACGTTTTCCCCAGGACTGACACTTTGCTGATAGTATTTCAGATGTGAACCAAATCTGGAGCTCCAAAAAACACAGTAACGGCCATCTGGGGAACTCCAAGAAACCTCATAGTGGCTTGTTTCCCTTGGGGCCAAAGCTTCTATATGTTTCCAAGCCATGTCAAACCTCCAAGCAATTTTTGAAGCTGCTGCATCCACGCCTTTCTTCAAGAGTCCTCATCCATAGTTAGAAATAAAACCTGCTTGGATATTTGGGAGGGGGCGGCAGGGGACAGTGGAATCGCTATGCCACCTTCTCCTGTTTTGTTATGAAGAGTCGCAGGCGAATCTGAACCTGTGAGCCAAAATATCTAGCAATGCCGCAGCAGTTTCGTATTAATAAGAAACCCAAGCTGCCAGCTGCGCTCACGGACCAGCAGATTAATGCACCAGAGAGCGTCCTGGCAAAGGATTTTGCCCTTTTGTTTCATGGGAGAGATTCAAGACCATCTTACCCACCCTGCAGACGTTCAGCCCGCAAAAGAGCAGTCACGAGCCGAGGCCCCTCCGAGTTGCAAAGCATTTCCACAATTTCTCGCCAAAATAAATTGGATTCTTTCCACTGTTTGAGATGGCAGCGAAGCAAGAACTGTATAATTAGGTCTGCGCTGATTACCTAGAACAAGGGCAATTTTCTTTACATCCGAGTAAAGCTTTGTGAAAAAACAGCGAAGAAAGTACATTTGGGAGAGCAGCTGAGAGACTGTCTAAAATTCTCCTTGATGGAAATGATTTAACTACATTTTAATATAGATGGTATTTTCTATTAATGTCAGGGCAGAAACTTATTGCTCCACATATCTCATCACATGGGCGATCTCCGCATCTGTCTGAGTCAACTTCAGTGACCACTTTAATATTCACTTTACAATTAATGCTGCTTTTTTATGGCTCGCTAGAAAGTAAACCAATTTCAGCCTAGCTCCTCAGTATTGAATTTATTATAAAAAGTTATGTACTTAAAACTCCTATAATGAAACCAGAGGCATCATGAGATATTAACCTAGAGTTAATGCTGAGAAAGCCGGTTTGAATAATTCAATTCATGTCACCTTAAGTATCTTTTCAAATGGAATTAACTTTATCTCACACGCAAAAAAAAGGAAGCGCCACGTTCCAGTTACTGATTATTGACTCCACGAGGGCTCCGTCTTAAATCATCTCGGCCCCATTTTTCCCAGCAAGCTCGCTGAGCTGCTGGCAGGGCAGACACTGGGAATGGGGGCACCAGACCGTGGGCGGAGGGCCACGGTCTCTCAGCCCCAGCCACAGATAGCACATGCTTCCACCTCCCAGAGAACCTACCAAGTCCAGGTGAACAACAGGTTGATTGGATTCATGTGAGGTTCTTAAAAGCACTTTTCAAATGGTTGTGTGCATACAGAATTCTGCTGGAATTCATCTAAGAATCAAGAACATCCTCAGCTTTAGGTTGGGCAATATTCTTCTCATTGGTGAAAAGGCTTTCAAGGAAATTTTAGCAAATGCGTAATTTTGAACACAAAGTGGAGCAACAACAGGCAGAGAAAGTATGAGACCTTAATGTGTTTTCCTAAGTTGGAGAAAAAGGATTCCTTGTTAAAATTTCTAATATTATAACTTACAGTCGTGCCCCGCTGGACGATTACCCCACTCTACAACGAATCCGCTTTACGTTGATGTTTTTGCAATCGCTTTTGCGATCGCAAAACAATGTTTTAAATGGGTTTTTTTTCACTGTGCGATGATCGGTTCCCTGCTTCGGGAACCGATTTTCGCTTTACAACAATCAGCAAACAGGAAAGTCTCAAAGACAACAGAATTCTGTGTTTCTTCCTAGAAGCAGAAATAGATATAAGAATTAAGACACAAACACCCCCAAACGGCCATACAACTGTATTTTTACTGGACGGTTTGATTAGGTGACTCAGCAAGTCATAAGGAGAACCAAGTGAGCAAAACTAGAAAAGGATACTTAAAATAGGCTGTACCTCAATTACGGCCCTTCCTTAAGAGAGAGAGGAAGAGGTGACAAATAGCCATCCATCAGAAATTTATGGTGTTCAAGTATATCCTAGTCCAAGAAGTCCTTAAATTTCACATTGCACAAAACAGGTCATTAAAACTTAGAAGCTAACAATGATGACTTCAAGTTCTACATTTGTTTGCTATAGTAGCCACAAAACCTACATCCCAGGGGGATCACTCATGAGAATCTTGTGAGGTCCTAGAGATGGAAAGAGCTAGGAGGAGGAGAAGGAGGAGAGAGAGACCTGTTCTGGTCAAATGACACCCAGCAACAAACTCTTAGACACAAAAGGAATATGGTTCATATATTCATTTAGTGGTGATTTAAACAGTTTAAACTGAGAATATTAAGACTGGAATTGGACACAGTCAGAAGAATCCGTTATCGGGCAAAGGCTTCTACACCTACCACCTACCGGTACGCAGACTTGTCCTCTTCTCAGTCCGTTCCTTCATGAACCTAATGAGATCCAGGGCCAAACACATGCATCACTGAAGCCTGTGGGGCTACAAGCTCTCCCGGCACCTTCTGTTTAGGGGCTGCCACAGAGAACGAGCACTGGATTCACATGTGCAGATTGGCAGAGGTCCACAGTGACTGCTCTGAGATGCCGGAAAGATGTTGTTTTGTTTTGTTTTGTTTGTTTGTCATATTGTTCGTGGAACTTCTGGTATTTTTGACTTGATTTCCTCAGCACAAGCATAGTTCCCTGGCTTCCATACACTTTCCCCAACGTGGACCCCTCCAGATGGGTCAGTCTTCAGCTCCCAGCATCCCCACCAGGGCTAGCTGGCAATGGGGAGGGCTGCACTCAAAAGCCCAGGACAAAGTTAAGTTGGGGAAAGAGCCTTTAGCAATATGATTCTAGGCCCCACCTGACAGCCGCTGTGCTGCTTTGCAGAGAAAAGCAACCCATTAATCAGCCCCAGTAAACCAAGACTGTGCTTTTTCTTTTACCAGATTCCCCTTATTCCATTCGTCTTCCAACTCACATACATGTTTAGAGCATGTTTTACTGGCACAAATATTTACGAGTGTATTCAAAGCTAGGCTTTCTATGATGTTGTACTCACTACTTCTCTTTGCCCCCATTGATACAGTTTACCAATGAGAACAGTTTCTAAGGAGGAGGACAGCTGCGTTTAAGACGCCTCTGGTTTTCCACTGGTGGGAAATGGAAGACAGAGGGTGAAACTGCCTAGCCCTGTTGGTGGGTGTCCTCTAGGAAAACGGTGGGCTACTACGTGAACAGAAAATTGGACTGGACAGGCCTTTGCTCTTCTTACATTGTTAGGTACAGAGGCTCTTAAATGCTCCCCTTGACATTTAGTCCACTCGCGTCCGACTCTAGGGTGCGGAGCTCGTCCCCATTTCCAAGCCACAGGGCTAGCATTTATCCATAGACTGTTTCCGTGGTCACGTGGCCAGCGCGACTAGACACGGAATGCTGTGACCTTCCCACAGAGGTGGTACCTATTTGTCTACTTGCATTTTTACATGCTTTCGAATAGCTAGGTTGGCAGGAGCAGGGACAAGCGACGGGAGATCCCTCCGTCGCGGGGGTTCGATCTTACGACGGCTGGTCTTCTGATCTTGCAGCACAGAGGCTTCTGCGGTTTAACCCACAGCGCCACCACGTCCCTCTAGAGGAGTGATAACCAGTGGTGCAGAGGAAGCAAAAAGAACAGAGGATCACATCACCATAACTCCTCCCTGGGTCTCTCACCAGAGCCCAGGCAGCAAAGATTGGGGGTCAGGGCCTCCTCTGCAGCAGCACTTGAACACCTGCTGGACACAAGCACTTGACACCCGCCCCCCCCTCCTTCAGGTATCAGGCAAAGTCTGTCTAGATCTTAACAACAACGTCTGGAAGGCCATCACCACCTCCTTTGACAGCTTGATTGATATTCCATGGATTTATCATTCTTGCATCAGGTTTTAACCTGCTATTACATTTTATGATAGTTTTACAGGTTTTCGTCATTTTATAGTGCATGCTCATTGATGACAGCGACAGGAGAGAAATGCCTGAACTAACTAACTAAAGCCATTGAGATTCATGGTATCACAGCATCCGGATGTGGCACCAAGATAGCACTGGAGAAGCAGACCTTGCTCTTTCTCTGTTGCATTTGGACAGCAAGGAAACATCACACAATGAGATGTGATGCCACTGGAATTCCTTCAACAGCAATTTCTTACCTCTAGTTCCCACGAGAAGGGGAGGAGCCGTTGAGAAGCCTTCATGCAAAGAGCCAAACAGCAAGCTTCCAGGCTCCAGTGGGCTGCAAATTTCTCTGCTTTGGGTCCCACTTTAATAAGATGAGTTATCACCAGCAGCGCAGAGGAAGCAAACAAAAAATGTCAGGGTGGAGGAGACCACTTACCTGCTGCTCCTTCTGCTTGGCAGCTTCAAGCTCTGAAAGGGAGTGTGTTAGCTTTTCTTGTTGCTCCGAGAGATACTTTTGATAAAGGCTCAGAAGTTCTTGGCACTCTCTGTATTGCTGCTGCAGGGGTGAGACAGCAAGTTAAGGACATGAACATTTCCTCGTGGAGAGCAGCAATGTGGAAGGAGGTGAGATGAAGTCAAAGGCACAGTCTTTTAATCTGTGTGAAACCACCTCTGCCATCTAGGAGAGAACATCAGGAGCCACAGACACAGAAAGCAAGTCAACTTTAGAGGGGCAAGGAGGTGGGTTCTCGCACAGGAACAGAATATGATGGTCATAAGGAAAATCTCTCAACTTGCATGCATGCATTCATTCGATTTATATCCAGCTTCCATTAGCATCCAGGCACTACTCTGGGTGGTTACAACAAATGTAATACAAATCAAAACAAAATAAAAATAAAAGCATTAAAAGCAGCTTGCAAATAATCTTTAAAAGCAGATGGCATGGGGCAATCATATAAAAACCAGAGCAGATGAAGGTGGTGTGGGGAGGGGAAGGGTAATCAGTTAGGGTTGTAGGGGAAAGCTTCCTGAAAAGCCAAAATCTTTAGTTGCCTCCTAAATATCAACAGGGAGGAGGGCTGGGCAAAGCTCCTCTGGAAGCTGGTTCCATAAAGTTCCACAATTCCTATAGGAATGTCAGGTAGGGATGTAAATCTGGACACATTTCATTCTTGCCAATAAGAATGGAACCTTTCTGGAGTTTTCTCAGATGGGAAGGTTTGTGACAGGATTTGTGCATTTTAAAATAAATATTTGTTTATTTTTGCATTTCATATTTTTGCATAAAATTCACTGAACGGTTTCTTTTGTGCCAAGAAGCAACCTTTTTTGCAGAAAAGCTCGAATTTTGCTGAAAATACCAATTTTTGTACAAACCTCCCCCCCCTGAGTCATCTGTATGTGTGTAAATGTATATTTAGGATGATGACAAAAGTGATCTTTTCAGTCCCAAAGAGGAATAAAAAAAATCTTGCAACAGCTGCCCACTTGGAAGCATTTATTTCCTCCTTAACAGATCCATGACTCAATATTACTAAACTTTGCTTTGCACTCTTGGTGATGTAGAGAGTCAAAGATTAATTCATACACATCACACCTTCACGTGGCTTTGGATAACATGTCCATTCCACCTTACCCCACCCATGTCATTTCTTTTCTTTCTTTCTTTCTTTCTTTCTGTTTTTAACAGTTGCATTTCAACAGAGGCCTTATTGCCCGTTTTCCTCACCAAAGAAAGAAGGTTCCTATAAGGGACAGGACAGCCTTGGCTGACCGCTAAGTCCTCCACACTTCTCTTGCCCACCTCCAGAGCAAGGGAGCCAAAGCTGAGCAAGCAGTGGTCAGGTCCCCTGCTCTGTTTCTTTCTTTCTTTCTTTCTGTTTTTAACAGTTGCATTTCAACAGAGGCCTTATTGCCCGTTTTCCTCACCAAAGAAAGAAGGTTCCTATAAGGGACAGGACAGCCTTGGCTGACCGCTAAGTCCTCCACACTTCTCTTGCCCACCTCCAGAGCAAGGGAGCCAAAGCTGAGCAAGCAGTGGTCAGGTCCCCTGCTCTGGCAAATGGAGAACCTGCTGGAAGCCTACAATCACAAAAAGCAAAGGAAAAGGAAGCAAAAGGCAGTGCTCCTGTACCTGGTTGCTGGAGTCAAAGCAACTGCAAAGCCCTGAAACTCAGCAAAGGAGGAAATATCCATCCATCCATCCATCCATCCATCCCTCCATCCCTCCATCCCTAAAAAAAACCATCCAAACTCCTGCAGCAGACGGGGGTGGTGGCTGGTGGTCATGCAGTCACAGCGTCGGCACTCAGTCCAAGCTTAGCTGGGCTGCTAAGCTTCCCAATCCTCAACTGCCACCAGATTGGGGGGTGTGTGTGTGTGTTCACCAGCCTTCTGTTCTTAGAAATAAAGGCTTTCTTGGTTTCAGGCACTTGCCAACCAGTGGCACGACAGCAGTATCAGCGTACCTCTCCCCAAGCTATGCCCACATGCAGTTACCAATGAATGGCATCAGCGAGCCATGTTTGGATTTCTAGAACCATTGCTCAAGCCAGGACACTCGACAATCCATTAGGCAAGACCCAAAAGATCCTACGGCAGCCCCAGGCTTCATCAACCAAACTGGCCTCCTGCCCACTTCTGGGCCCAATTTAAAAAGGGCTGCCCCTCTGTCCCTTTAAAGCCACATACAACTTCTGGTTTCCTAGAGGCAAAAGTGTCAGATGAGGGTGGATTTTATCTCCTTATCTGTTCAATCTATTTGAAGAAGACACCACTAGGAAAGTTGGACTAGATTCAGATGAAGGAGAAATGAAAATTGGTGGAAAACATCAGCAATTTAAGATATGCAGATGGCACCATCTTACTGGCAGAAAGCAGCAAGGGCTTGAAACAACTTTTAGGGAAAGTGAAAGAAGAAAGTGCCGAAGCAGGACTACAGTTGAACACAAAGGAGACCAAAACCACCGAAGAACTAAACAAGTTTAAGGTTGATGATGAAGAAACTGAAATAGATAAAGAGTTTCTGTATACAGTGGTGCCTCGCTTGACGACGTTCCCTTCAAATCGCTGTTAAGCGAAATCGTCGTCAAGCAAAAGTAAAAAACTATTGAAATGCATTGAAAACTGGTAAATGTGTTCCAATGGGCAAAATACCTCATCGTGCAGCGAAGATCCTCCATAGGGCGGCCATTTTCCGATGCCTGTAAAGCGAAGAATCCATCCTGAACACAGTGGGGAGCCATTTTGCACAGCAGGGAGCCATTTTGAAAACCCGACGATCAGCTGTTTTTGATCATCATGAAGCAAAAAATCGGTTCCCGAAGCAGGGACCCGATCGTCATCAAGCAGATTTTCCCCATTTAAACATCATTTTGCAATCGCAATAGTGATAGCAAAAAACTCGCCGTAAAGCGGATTCGTCATGGAGCGGGGTAATCGTCAAGCGGGGCACCACTGTATTCTGGTTCAATCATCAATCCAAATTGAGACTGCAGCCAAGAATCAGAAGACGACTGCTGGTTCAATCATCAATCCAAATTGAGACTACAGCCAAGAATCAGAAGATGACTAAGGCTCAGAAGGGTAGTAATGAAAGATCATCAAGTGTAAGGATGTGTCACTGGAGACCAAGACTAGGATCACATACATTAGCATGTAAAAGTTAGACAGTAAAGAAAGCTGACAGGGGGAAAATTGATTTGTTTGAAATATGGTGCTAGAGGAAAACTCTATGGAGACCCTGATCCCGCAGAAAGACAAGTGGGTCCTGGATCAAATCAAGCCTGAACTGTCTCTGGAGGCAAAAAATGTTGAACCGGAGGCTGTCCAACTTATCTAGAAAGGACGATGATGCTGGGAAAGGAGGAAGGCATCAGGAAAAGAGGAAGACCAATTACAAGATGGACTGATTCCCTAAAAGAAGCCAAAGCTTGAGTTTGCAAGAGCCAAAGACGGCTGTTGAGCACAGGACAGTTTGGAGATCACTCATTCATGGGGTTCCCTAAGTCAGGGAGACTTAACGACACATAAGAACAACTTCCCAAGACTACCTGTCCCTCCATAAGCCTGCCTGTATCCTGAGATCATCAGAGGGTCTTTTGCCACCTGTCTTGCTAGGAGCTTCAGAGAAGGGCCTTTTCTAGAGTGGCCCCCCCAACTCTGGAATTTTCGTCCTCGTTCTCATCTCAGAACTGCAGCGCTGGATGACGGTACTGCGCTCCTGTCAAGGAGACACAGAGCGGAATCGAACTTCCAACCTCTGACTCCACAGCCACACAGCTAAGCAACTGAGCTAATTTGGGCTCCCAGAGCTTCTGCACCTCTTGCCAGGTGAAGCAGCATTCCACTCCTAGACAGAGAGCTTTTTCTTCTCCCAAACTGATGTGCTCCATCCTAAGCTGAGAACACAGCGGCTCGTCATAGCTACGGCAAGCCATCCCAGTCACTTGTCCAAGGCATAGCCTTCGACACACATTCCGGCTCCCCACTTCTGCTCATGGATCTGCCTCGGCCATGGCTGCTGTGCGATTTGCACATAAAAGTGGAGGCAAAGTGCAGGATGGGGCGGAACATCATCATTCCACAGAAGAACACAAGAAGAATGGATCCAGAGAGAGAGGTGGTTAAAAATAAATAAATAAAAAAGACGAGGACAGTGCAGAACAAGCCCAGAGATGCAAACGAGGTAAGTGGGGATGATTTATTCATCGGCGGCCAGCACTGTCATCCATTTGCTTGACTTCGTTCCCAAATGCAAAGCCTTTCGTAAACTCCCCATGGCTCGCACGCAGGCACAGCCTGGCAGGCCTTTCGGGGACCTACGACAAGTTTTGGACAGTGATCTAGAGAAGCAGCAAACAGTGGCATTTGCAAAGATATTAGCAAAAGCGCCCTGCCTTGCTTCCAGCATTGAAATTCCAGGCGGAGATGAATTGGCTCTTCACTTGTCACTGTGTGATTCCCTCCCTCGCTCATTTAACATGGTAAACCATTTACTTGGCAACCCACCCCATACGCCCCCACCCCTTCCACCCTTCCTTTTCCTCCCTCCGCTTCTGGACTTTCAATTCCGCACACAGACAGGGCCAGGGCCGGCTGTCCAAAGCCATTCCTCCAAATAAAGGTTTTAAGCAACTGCCCGCCTGCCCCCTAGCTAAGAAGGGGCTCGGAGACACTCTTTCGGCTTGGAAACAGTGGCGGCTGGTGGATTTTGTTGTCACTTTTTTGCTAGCCCAATCATGGCTAAAAACCAAGTTTAAAAAAGGACAATGGTGGAACTGAGCCATCCGAGTTCTATAAACGGAAGTCGCTCCTGCCAGTTCTTACTGTAACAAAGGCGGGAGGGGGGGAACCACCCACCCCAAACCTTTGGGTAGGGGAAATATACATACATGGCTTATGACGAAGAGGGTGGTGACACAAGCTTAAGATGAACACCTTTTTGGAAGAGAACAGATATAGAAAACAGTGTCATGAGAAGCTCTTCCAGAAGCTCTTCTCAAGTCCCAGCTTCTTTCCTACTGAAGATTTCACCTTAAATACCGTATATGTCGCCGTAC